TCTTTGGGCCTCTCTAGGGAAGAAGTAGGAGAAAGAGGACAAGCAGCAAAATCACAAAGAATCCATAAACTGATGAGGCAGCTTCTGAATAAGTTAAGCTATCTATGGTCTCAAAGGTTTCTCCCTTTCATTTATATTTCCTAAAGTATATCATGCCCCATGACCTTGCCAGCAAGTTCCAAACTGAATGTTCACCTTTAAGATTTCTTTAAAATCTGCATCTATTCTATTCTCTCCAATCACTGGAGCTCCTTCTTGCATTACCAACTTTACATAAGAGTTTTGGCATTATAAAGAGGGGGAAAAAACAGTATCTGTAAACACACACTACATGTCAGACAAATAGCTGGGAATTTTATATACTGCTCATTCAACCTTTACAGTGGATAATAAAGAACCTATTACTATATTTTTTAAATCTGTCAAGAAAGCCTGGATTCAGGCCCTGTGATTACACCATGATTCCTCCAAAGTAATGTGCCTTAGTGGAAGGAACACGATAGATAGCACCTAAGATGCAAAGCCTGGCTTAATTTATCACCTTCTGATAAACTATGAACAAATCACTTAACGTGTGTGATCAATCTTCTCAAGAGTAAATGAGAGATAAAACTATCTTCCAACCTTACAAACTAAACAATGCATGTGAAAACATGCAATGTATACATTATCCAATGTTAAGATATAAATAAAAATCACCATGCCATCTCTTGGAAATAACTCTTATTCTCAAATTTTTAAAAAAATGTTATCTTTATCCAGTTATTTAACAAAGGAATGAATGAAGCATATTAGAACCAAGGGTGCAGCAATCCAAGGAAAACACTTTCATTACCAATACCCACATAAAAATCTTATTAAATTCCCCCCCAAAACCAGCCTCAAAACCTTTAATTAGTTAATGAGGCCTTCAACAGGCAAACAACAGTTGAAGCCTTTTTCAGGTCAGTCAGTTCCATAAAAAACAAAAAGGAAAATAGTTTAGAATGAATATAATTTCTCTCATGCCAGTATACATGTGACAAGGTTGAGATTCAGTGACAGTGACCTTCAGAAATTACCACTTACTGATCCTTGAGATCGGTAAATTGTTTTTCAAGATTGGACATTTCATCTAAACATTCCATTCTTCTTCTTTCACAGTCTTCATCATCCATTTCTGTTAACAAAATGCAAATATCAAAGATAAACCTAATGTTATGTTCCAAATACATCAGAATGTTAATTAGAATGGTTAAAAAAAAAACAAGAACAGAAGAAGTACTTTAGGACTTAAACATTTATCGAAAATAATTTCCACTGTAGATTTCATGTAAAATACAGATAAGAGTTAAAAGAGTTGCTAGTTCTTAATTTTATTCATTTTTAAAAAATAATTGTATTTATTTATTTTGGGCTATGCTGAGTCTCTGTTGCTGTGTGGGCCTTTCTCTAGTTGCAATGAGTGGAGGCTACTCTAGTTGCGGCACATGGGCTTTTCACTGTGGCAGCGTCTCTTGTTTCAGGGCGCAGGCTCCACGGAGCCCAGACTTCAACAGCTGCGGCACTCAGGCTGAGGAGTTACGACTCCTGGGCTCTAGACACAGTCTCAATAGTTGTGGTGTATGGGCTCAGTTCTTTACAGGATGTGGGATCTTCCCAGATCAGGGATCAATCCTGTGTCTCCTGCATTGGCAGGCAGATTCTTTACCACTGAGTCACCAGGGAAGCCTCTTTATTCACTCTTAAATCATTTTATTAAAGGGCTGATGGGGCAGGGGTCCAGTGGTTAAGAGTGTGCTCCCACGTGTAAGGGGCACAGGTTTGATCCCTGGTCAAGGAACTAAGTTCCCACGTGCTGTAGCACAGCCAAAAAGAAAAAGGCTGACCTTAAACTGTGACTATAAAGTAATTAGCCCACTTTTGGCTTGTTTTTTCACCAACTCACCAGAACTTAAGCACCAAAATGATTATGTCCTTTAAAGGTTAATATTGCTCAAGAATACTTAGGGAATTCCACTTACGGAATGCTCACATGGATAATTTGAGAGTCAAATAAAAAAAGAAAATTAATCCCATTATGTTCAGCACAGAGTATCTCGGTTTCCTACTCCTAGGCCCCCACTGTTCCCGCTCCCCACATTACAGTCAGTCAGTGAGAAAGAGGAAGGAGGAAGACAAGCAAACTTTTCAAGGAAAACAACTGACAGCTACCAGCTCTCTCCTATATTCCACATTGTCTGTTTTTGTCAATACATCACATATAGCTGACAACATCAGAATAACTTAAGCACAAAATGATGTTCATATTGATCATCATCAAATAAAGGTCAAACTATGAGAAAAAATTAAATTATGTTCAGTTACTTTCTACAGCAAGAAAGTATGATTTTTTTTTAAATTTTTCTGAAACAGATTAAAATTATTTCTGGCTCTTAAGAGCTTATTCCTTGACTCTTTAAAATGTGGTCCCTCAAGATGATTCACTCCCCAATATCTCTAGATAGAGTTTTTCTGTAGCCTTAAGACTGGCCCAGTACCAAGGCTGGAGAAGAATAAAACTGTGGGAGTTTAACATGCAAGATAAATGGTAGAAAAGAGATGCAAAAGCAACATGCAACTGAAAAATTTAATTTCTTTGTACTTAAAAAATTTGACTTGTGGGACTTCCCTGGTGGTCCAGTGGCTAAGACTCTGTGCTCCCATTACAGGGAACCAGGGTTTGATCCCTGATCAGGGAACTAGGTCCCACATGCCACAACTAAGACCTGGTGCAGTCAGATAAATAAATAAAATATTAAAAAAAAAAAAATTTGACTTGTGCTTCAAATCATTATCATATTCTTCATAAATTAATATGTTCATTATTTTGGGGGACAGAACAAAAAACAGTTAAAAAAAAATAAAAACCCACAGGATCAACATAAAAATTAGAGAGGCAGAATTTTAGTAAATAGATGTCATTTTGACAGATCCTAACTCCCATAAAAACAAAAACAAAGAACAAGTGAAGATAAAATGTTTTACAGATCCAGAAAATGTACTCACATATAGTATAGATATTCTCTGTATTCCTCACTTTTGAAATCTCACCTATTTTCATGATTAAGCAGGTGAATTCCAAATTATGCTTCCCATCCCAGGCGGGCTCCAATGCCACATTACCACCTGTCAGTTGGGCACTCTGACTCAAATATACCATCAGGACCTTGAAAACATGTCTGTAATACTTTATCTTCTACTTTCATCTCAAATCTTTTTTTTTTTTTTTCTGTTTCTGTTCAAACTACCACCATTCTCCTTGTATTTGGGTTTTTCTTCTTACATTGACTCCTAAACTTGTAGTCATCAATCCCACTTTCTGCTTTTTCTCAAGTCTTTCACACCTATATCTTTTCCTTTTCTAGCTCAAATCCTTCCCCCAACCAAACTGCTTTTCTCACTCTTTTAAATAAGGCTTGAGCTCTGGCCTTGCACTTTTTCTTATATTGCTTCTTCTACAGAAATACCTGAACTTTACGACTCCAATCCAAATTCCACCCATTCTTCAAGATAATTTAGGTAATCCCACTAGCCTTTGCTGACCACCCTGTACTGAAAAGATTTCCTCTACCTCTGAATTTCCACAGTAATGTTTATAAATAAGTGTTCATTTGGCAACTGAATCAAGTGGTGACCTATGACAGCTCTTTAATTGTGGTCAGATCATAACTATTTATAGCTTCCATTGAGTAGAACCCAATACCGCAAAAGGAAGTCACCCAGAAACACTTATTCGGGGTGGCCGATTTATTGACTGAAATGACATACTTCCATGGAGGTTTTCTTTGAAAGGGAAGCCTAAAAAAGAGAGTGTCACGGTGATAGGCTGTCGTCAACCTGTCATCAATCCTTGCTTCACATGGCCAAAATCAGGCCAAAACAAAGAAATAAGTCTCATCTTCATCGTATGGATAGAAGGAAAAGAACCCAGGTAATTATAACTTTCTTTTTAAAATAACCATTCCTAAAAGATTGCAAAAATTGATTTAAGGTGTTAACCTGCCCCCCTCCACTCTGCCCCATCCCACTCCCTTCAAAACAGAAAACAAAAACAAATAAACAGACAAAAAAACCAGCACAAAGTTAGAAAAGATTGCAGGGGAGAAGATTTGGAGAGCTTCAAAGCTGCCAAAAACCAGCCAGTTATTTATAAGCATATGAAGATCTCCAATCAGTCCTGATGTTGGGCTCTTCTTCTCAGTCTTGAAAAGTTCACAGAAATGATGCAGATGACCCAGCTCCCACGTCAGCTCCCCGAAAGAGGACGAATGTCCAGTACGGACTGACACGCTGACTTGGAAGCTGACATTAATAAATTCTAAACCAGCCAAGAGCGAGTACCCTCGGGTCCTGACAACCCACACACGCTGAGAAGAGCTGCAAAGGTGCAAAATAAAAAGTCGGCGGTGTGGGGAGAGGAGGCATTTCCAGCGTCTCCCAGACAAGATGCGGGACATTTTCCGCTCCGGATAGCCCGAGGCACTACCCAGAGGTCCCAAGGGCGGGGCGGATCGAGAACGGAACCAAGCACCGTCCGTGAGCCGGACTAGTCCAGGCCCGCGCCCTGCCCCGCTCCGCCCCGTCAACCGGGACCCGCCAGGAGCTGGGCAGCGCCCCGCGAACAGTTTGGGTGCCACGGAGGGCCGGGAGCCAGTCTCCGCCCCTTCCCTCTCTCCCCGCCCCGCTCTCCCAGCAGGACGCAGCTGCCCGGCGTGCGGAGAGCGGCCTGTCGCTAGCCTGGCGCGAGGACTCGGGGTCCCAGCCCGCTGGGTCGCGTACCTGAGCTATCTCCATCCTCGGAGACCGACGAGCTCTCGGTGTCCTCGTCCTCGGAGCTGCTCCCCTCGTTTTCGGCGTAGTCCACCTCCATCTCATCGTGATGGTTCGTCTCCTTCTTATCCCCTCGGGAATGGACTGGCATTTTCCAGCCGCGCCGTCGCTTCCCACTCCCGGCGCCCAGCCCGGCCACCGCCGCTTCAATGAAGGGCGCGCCGAACGCCCCGACCCACCCAGCAGCCGAGCTCGTTCAGAACCCCCTCGGCTCCTCCCCGCCCCCGCCGGAGCCTCACAACCTAACCCGCAGGCTCAGCACTGAGAGCGCTGCCATTGGTGGAGGCAGCCCTCCCGAGCCGGGGGCTGGAGCTAATCCTGCTCCGGTCCGGTTGGTTGCCGGTAATTACGGCGCGGCCTCGGGATGTGTGTCGGGAATTGTAGTCCTTACTGTTCAGACCTGCAGGGGCCGCCGGCTTCGACGCTTCGGCTACCCTGACCGCTTCTCCCCTCTGGACTTCAAGTCCCACAAGGCACGAAAGCTGCCGGGCTCGGTCGCAGTTTATAAACTAAACAGAACCAGATTGTGGGATTTTGGTCTGTGTTTATTCTTTTCCCGCCAAGTGCTTGTCTGAGCTTCCAGGCCATCCAGGATGTTACTGTCAGATGTGAGAAGGTCTTTTGCCTGAGGATTTTTCCTCCTCTTTAAGGCTACAGGAACTGGAGAAATGTCTATTTACCAAAGACCTTTTATTACCACTATTAAACATTGTTGAATTAGTTTCTGCAGACAACTTGCACTTTCTATGTTGCACAAAAATCTTTATTCTTGAAACTTTTGCAATATGAAAGGAAAGGAAGTTTTATCTTGGCACTTTTCTCTAGTATGTTTTACATTTGTTTTTAACCATATGCGGGTTTCCCTGGTGACTCAGACGGTAAAGAATCTGCCTGCAATGCAGGAGACCAGGTTCCATCCCTGGGTCCGGAAGATCCCTTGGAGAAGGGAATGGCTATCAACTCCAGTGTTCTTGCGTGGAGCATTCCATGGACAGGGCAGCCTGGTGGGCTACAGTCCATGGAGTGAATAAGAGTCGGACACAGCTGAGCGACTAACACAGTTCCAGTTTACCATACGCAGCCTGAATATGCCTCCAGTCTTAACTTCAGTTTTCAATGAAAAATATTTATTTGACTTAATGAAATGTTTTATTTTTTCAATAGTAGGGATGATAGACAAGTAAAACTCCTTATATATCCTAATCATAATCACATACTAATTGACCACTTTTACTCTGTATCAAATACCCTGGTAAATTCTTTACATCACTTACATTGAGTTGAATTCCCAATTTATTAGCCCTGAGTTAGGTGCATTATACCCATTTTACAGATAAGGAAATTTTATTTGCAGACAAACCTAAAAACTGTATTTTATCCACTATAAAGACAAGGCTTCTTCCTGAAGTGGCAATTTGCTATTGAAAGAGATTTCATAGAATATTGTGGGTTGTAAATTCCTTTCTCAAACACAAGGTCCAAAGACATTTGACAGAGAATGGTAAGAGTATCCAAGCATAAATGCATTAAAGTTAGATTTCGAATTTAATGACAGAAAACATCTCAAGGGCTATCCACCTCTTGGCTGAAATCCAAATTAAGGGACTCTTATTATCTAGTGTCAGCCTACTTGTCCTTTTCTTACTGTAGTCTCCAAAACTGTACTCATCAGTTGAGAAACAGACAGACTGTTGGCCATTTCAATGTTCTTTGCGTGTCCTATTTCTCTGCAACCCTCTTGCACTCATTTTTTTCAAAGCCACTTTCTTGACAACCTTCATCACCAGCAACCCCTCCACCATTCAGTCCATGCCCCTGTTCCTTCAGATTACTGCTTGGCAACTTTGTACTTATTTCTGTCACACTGTATTGTGGGTTGTTTAGCAGATGCATCTCACCAATTGGATTATGAATTCGTTGAGAACAGGGATTGTCTTAGCCTGGGATGCAGTTTCAGAGTCAAGCTTGTGAATACATTATGTGAATGGTGTGGACTAAAGCTGGGCAGCTGCTTTTAGCTCCAGCCAGTTGTTGCTACATCTGAATTTGGGACTAGATGTCAGACCTTCTGATTTTCAAGAGAAACTTAGAAGTTTACATGAAATTTAGAAGTCTACATGAAATTACCAGATTTGTAAACATTATTTCAAGTGCATTTTTTGCTGTTACTTTGGTTTGGTTTGGTTTATTAAACTCCAGACCAAACAAAAGCAGCTGTGAGTAATATCCCTGGCCTCTGTTAATCTCTGTTATATCAGCAGCTAGCAGTGTATGTGCTGGATAGTAACACTAGCTTGGATTTCTGGTCACTCTTCATGTTCCAAGCACTGTATGTGCTTTAAGGAGATTAATTCATTTAATCATTATAACAACTCTATGAAGTAAATATAATTATGCCTTCCATTTTGTAGATGGAGAAACTGAAGCACAAAGCAGTTAGGTTGCTTGGCCAAGGTCACACAGCTAATAAGTAGCAGATTTAAGATCTGAACTTAAGTAGTCTGACCTCAGAGCCTGCAGTCAACTATCAGTACACAGTGTCCCACTAGCAGATTATTTCTGTGTTTCTGCTGTTTAGAGAAAAACAGAAGGAAGTTGGAGAGGAGGCATGGATTCTAGCCCTGGTTCTGCTAGTAACCAGGCAAGTCAATTTGGCAAATCATATACTCTCTGGTCAGTTGTAAAATGAGAAGTTTGCATTATGTTATCTTTAAGTTCTCATCAAGCCCTAAAATTCCTGTCCTTGATGTGTTTATGTTTAAGGCAGACAAAATAATGGGAGATTAAGCAATTAGAGTTGCACAAAGATGTATTGCTTAAAAGGAGTTTCTTTCTCCTCTCCCCAAACAGATTTTAGAAAAGATACATAGGAAATGTAAGAGGAACCATAAGGGGAAAAATGAATAAGGCTGGAAAAGAATATTGTCACTTTTAGAAAATACAAATTAATGTTAAAAAAAAAACATGAAAGCAGAATGAAGTTTTCTCAGTTGAGGCATTTTAAAAGGTAGGAATGATGCCTTCCATTTATGTTTACATCTCACACAGAGTTTACAATATACAATCATTAGATACATTTTAAGTCTCATTTTTCATTGATCCTTAATAAGCACTCCTTTATTGAGAGCCTCTAAAACTCGTGGTCGGTCATCAGCAAAATCTGCTATGTCATTACCCTCTTCTCTGGAAAGGTCCCTTGACTTTCCTGTTCTAAAGGGAACATGGCGCCCCCCGAGGAGCCTTGTCGTGGAGTAGGTATGCTTGGTGTCCTTGTTCCTGCCAGATGATCATTTCCACCTCCCCTCCCTAAAAGCCCCCAGCTTGTCATCAGGATATGCCACGCAGTCTCTTTACTTGTGGCTGTTCTGTACATACCTCCCAGGCTCACCACCCCCCCCTCATTTTTTGGAGATTTTAGCTCTTGGCTCATTCTCTCCCATGGTATGCTCACCAGAATCCTTAGTCATTTTAGTATTCAGTAAATAGGCCAATACCACTCCATTTCCTACTGGGTTTGCTCTGGCTTGTGAAAGTCATTCATTCATATTCGACTCTTTGTGACTCCGTGGACTATATAGTCCATGGAATTCTCCAGGCCAGAATACTGGAGTGGGTAGCCTTTCCCTACTCCAGGGGATCTTCCCAACCCAGGGATCAAACCCAGGTCTCCCGCATTGCAGGCGGATTCTTTACCAGCTGAGCCACAAGGGAAGCCCACTCTGGCATAGAGTAGATAAAATAATTCTGGCTTTTTCTTTGTAGTTTTTCTCCTGTACCTTCTTTGGTATAAATTTTCAATCTGCCTTATTAAAATTTTAACATTGACATGATAATTTAAACACATAGAAAGGTAATTCAGAATATTATATATAACACAACAGAATGCCCTCTAAGCTTTGTCAGATCTTATCATTTTATTGCATTTGTTCCACATCCCTCTTCATTCCCAATTTTCTCCTTCCCTCTCCAGAATAACCATTATTCTGACTTCAGTGTTTTGATTGCCATGCATGTGTACATTTCATTTTTTCTATATTTAGAAATGATTATGTGTACATTTCATTTTTTATATATTATAGAAATGATTATTTAACATGCTTTAAACAATCATATAGTAGAGTAGTGTTAGTCATTCAGTCATGTCTGATGTTTTATGACCTGATGGACCATAACCGCCAGGCTCCTCGGTCCATGGAATTCTCCAGGCAAGAATACTGGTGTGGGTTGCCATTTCCTTCTCCAGAGGATATTCCCGACCCAGGGTTTGAACCTGGGTCTCTTGCATTGCCAGGAGATGCTTTATCATCTGAAGCACAGGGAAGACCTAAACAATCATATCATATATGATACATATACTACATATGTATTATATAATGCATATCATACTAAAACTTCCTTTATCCTCAACAATGTTTTTGAGATGTATCTATTATGATACAGGTAGCTCTAATCCAGGTAACTTTGATCTGCTCTAAGGTAGTCTCTTGAGTACACTTATTCCATTGAATAAATATTAAAAGTTTCACTCACACACAAAAAAAATTCACTCATTTACCTACCTATTAATGGACAGGTAGGTTGCTTTCAATTTTTTCATTACTAAAAATAGTTGCCTCTATGAATATTCTTGTATTTATCTTTTGGAGCCTGTGTGTGAGGATTTCTCTAGGTCAATGGTCTCCAAAGTACGGTGTGTGTATTCAGGGAGTATAGCCTAGGGGATAGGAAGAAAAGATTAAAACTTCAGTGTATAAAATTTTCAGTTTCATTTTTATTTGGAGTAAAGTAGATATCGGGAGGAAGCTACAAGCCCATTTTTTTTACTCTGATTTATCCTCATTATGGTTTCCCTGGTGGCTCGGGGGTAAAGAATCCACCTGCCAATGCAAGAGATGCAAGAGATGCAGGTTCAATCCGCTGGAGAAGGAAATGACAACCCTTTCCAGTATTCTTGCCTGAAAAATTCCATGGACAGAGGAGCCTGATGGGCTAAAGTACAGAGGGTCGTAAAGTGTCAGACACGACTGAGCAACTGAGCAGCACACATGAACTTAATTCCAAACACTACCACGTGGTGGAGCTGAGACATCAACTGTACATCCACAAGCCTCATCACAACTGATGGACCCAGGCCAGATGCCAGTAGCTAGAAAAACAAAGGCAGGAGGCAGTAACTAATGGCTAATACTCAAATCAGGGTCAACATTTTAATCATTCAAACTAAGTCTAGGTCTTTAGAGATCTACTAAATAACTAAATAATAATAATCCACTAAATTGACAACTAAATAAGACCAATTTATTATCAATTAAATGAGACCATGATAAAGAACCCACCTGCCAGTGCAGGAGACATAAGAGATGCGGGTTCAATCCTTGGGTCAGGAAGATCCTGGAGAAGGGTATGGCAACCCATTCCAGTTTTCTTACCTGGAGAATCCCACGGACAGAGGAGCCTGGCGAGCTACAGTGCATAGGGTTGCAAAGATCAGACACAAGTAAAGTGCATTACATGCACCAAGATTTCAGTTGCTTAAGAATGAAACTTTTTTAATGTTAATCATTTTATTGTTATAATAAGACAGATGACAGTTTTTCATATCACCATTGCACTCATGCTAGGGATAACAATGCTTCCTCTACTAATAATGCTACTTGATCTTTTTAAGACATGTTATTTACTAAACTTGGAATATCTGGGAATGCTTAATGAAATAAAAAATTATAAAACATTCCAAATTGTTCTTTTACTTAAGCAAAATACCTAATTTTATTCAATTTACACACAACTTTTCACTTAGAAAGAATGAAACTATTTCACTTCTGACATTTAACAATTATTAGTATAAGATTATTAACAATTACTTTTAATAAAATCCATTTCCTTCTCCAGGGGATCTTCCCAACCCAGGGACTGAACCCAGGTCTCCAGCATTGCAGGCAGATTCTTTACCATCTGAGCCACTGGGGAAGTCGAAGAATCCCTTCTCCAGGGGATCTTCCCAACCCAGGAATCGAGCCAGGGTCTCCTGCATTGCAGGCAGCTTCTTTACCAGTTGAGAAACCAGGGTAGCCTAATATAAAAGTATTATAATTATTATTAATATAAGAATAGATTCTGGGGAAAAAAAGAATAGATTCTTTCACCAATATGATGGCCTTGGCATCTTACATATTATGTTTGCAGTTTAAATTAAGTCCTATTTACCAAGCCAAGATAATGAACATGCATGCATACTAAGTTGCTTCAGTTGTGTCCACTTCTTTGTGAACCAAAGGTCTTATGGTCGGAGGAGTCCTCTATCCATAGGATTCTCCAGGCAAGAATACAGGAGTGGGTTGCCATGCCCTTCACCTGGGAAGAATGAAACTATTTAAAGGTGCTTGAAATAGCCTGTTGACAGTACAGGGCCCATCCCTGTATTAACTGTCTATTTGCAGAAATTAGTTCTTGGATTAGTTCAACTATAAACCTGATAATATTCTATTAGCATATTTGTGTTATTATTCCACTATCTCATAGCTCATATTATCATGTTCTTTTGTTGTCAATAACTGATTTTTTTTTTAAGTAGAGAAATTTTTCTTTTCTCTTTTAAGATTTTTCTCAATGACAAACATTTTACAGTTTTATTTTTAATCTATATTTTTCCTCTTCAGATAATTTTTCAGTATAGTTACAGTGGGAATCTTTTAGCCTCCTCAATATCTATCCCCTTTTTGAAGCAATAGCTCTTTCATTTTCCCTTCAATAACTCCCTCTGCTTCATTCCTCCCATGTGGTTCAAGTGGCCAATCAGAATATTATATTCTCTTGGTCCAGGGATGGACACGTGGACCAACCTAGGCCATGATGGACATTGACAGAATTTCTATTGGAGCTACTGAGAAGGAGTTTTCGTTTTTAGAAGTTAAAAGGTCCATGAAGCCTATGAACCTAGCTTTGCTAGGGCCATTTCTCCTCTACATGCAACTTGGGGAAGCAGGGAGTCAGGCGTGGGAAGCAACAGAAGAACAGAGAGAAAAAAGCAAAGATTCCTGATGACTTTAATTTAAGCACCTGTATCCACATGTGTTCAGTGTTAAGCCTTAGACTTTCAGTTACATGACCTAATGAGCTACTCTTCTTATTGGAGTGGTTTTTCTGGTTATTCTTACTTTCAGCTAAAAGAGTTCTGAGCACAACAGACAGCTAATTATTTTTCTTTAAAGTGTGATTTGAAAAGCAAACGAAATATTTTAAAATCTCCTATCATAATTTCTTCTCTGTTCTTATCAAAAGTCCCCTCTCATATTCACTTATATATTAGCTATTTATTGAATGTTTATTGCGTTTTAGGTAGTGCAGTGGTTTCAGGAGATTCATTGATGAACAGAACAAACAGCATCTGCTTGCACAGAGCTCAGAGAAAAGTAAAGAGGTAAATATTAAACAGTTAATTCTGCAAATTAAGGGATGTTCTCTACTGGTGTTACGAGAGTGTAACACAGAGACCTGTGGAAGTGGGCATCAGGTAAGACCGCTCTAAAATAGTAATATTTCAGCTAATATCTGACAGTTTGGCATTAGGACAGCTTGTATGGAAAGGAGGAATATCATAAACGGAAAGAACAGGATGTGTAAAGGTCCTGATGTAGAAAAGAGCTTTCTCATGTTTGTGTTTGATGAATTAAGAGATCACTATGGACAGTCAGTGTTTAAGGGTACAAAGGGCACAAGGTGGGGTAAGTTAGAGAAAGACCACATCTCTTAGGGCCTGGTAGATTATAAGGATATTTGATTTTTTTCTAAATCCTAAATGCAGTGGGTTGCCATTAGGAAGTTTGTACGAAAGGATGCCATTAGATTAGTGGTAAGATTATGCTAACTTAAAATCAGACCTTTTAAAAAAATCACTCGTTGCTTAGTGGAAAATGAATTGAGTAATAAAGGAAGAATCAATCAGATATTGAGGTAAGATAATGGTGGTTTGGACAGGAGTAGAAGCTGTATGGCAAAAAGAAATGGACAAATTTGAGATAATGGGAGATAAAAATCAACAAAACTTAGTAATGGATTAAATATGGGGCATGAGAGAAAGGATATACAATATAGTTTACTTATCTATCTTTGAATTAATTTCCTGATGCTATTAAATAATGTTACCAGTCTTTGCATCAACACATCTCGTTAAAAATGTATTTCGCTTAAGAACTTCTATATTCATTGTAATACTATTTTCAGCATTTTCTGACATTAACCAATCATAAAGTTTCTTCCAATGCTTCTTCTTTTTTTTTTTTTTCCAGTTTTACTGAGATATCCTTGTTCAGTTCAGCTCAGTTGTTCAGTCGTGTCCGACTCTTTGCGACCCCATGGACTGCAGCACGCCAGGCTTTCTTGTCCATCAACAACTCCTGGAGCTTGCTCAAACTCATGTCCATCGAGTTAGTGATGCCATCCAACCATCTCATCCTCCGTCGTCTGCTTCTCCTCCTGCCTTCAATCTTTCCCAGCATCAGGGTCTTTTCCAAAGAGTCAGTTCTTCACATCAGGTGGCCAAAGTATTGGAGTTGCAGCTTCATCACCAGTCCAAATGAATATTCAGGACTGATTTCCTTTAGGATTGACTGGTTTGATGTCTTTGTAGTCGAAGGGATGTCCTTGACAGCACTACAAAAGTTTAAGGTATGCAACATAAAGATTTGATTTACATACATTAAGAAGTGATTATCACAAGTTTAGGATAAACCCATCATCTAATATGGTTACAAAAATTTTAAAAATAGAGAAACAAATTTCTTGTGATGAGAACTCAGGATTTACACTCTTATTAACTTTCATACGTAACATACATCAATTAATTACATTTATCATGTTGTGTATTACATTCCTAATTCTCCTACTCCTTCTTGACTTGTATGTAAATGCTACCTGTTTTCCCAAAAATTTAAATCATAAGGTATAAAATTCCAACAGAAAGAAATTACAAAATTTATTGACATTGGAAGTGAAGCTACAAAAGCAATGATAAGTAAAATGGTTGGCACATTAGCATGAAGGCAGTGGTACCAAACGATACCAACATTCACTGTATTTTTCATCACCAATTTCAGTTATGAATATCCTAGATGAATCAGGAGAGATTATTCTTGATGCGATCCCAAGCATTGAGTGGGCTTCCCTGGTGGCTCAGTGATACAGAATCCTCCTGTCAATGCAGGAGGCATGGGTCAAGATCTCTGAGTCAGGAAGATCTCCTGGAGAAGGAAGTGGCAACTCACTCCAGTATTCTTGCCTGGGAAATCCCATGGACAGAGGAGCCTGGTGGGCTACAATCCATATGGTTGCAAAAGACTTGGACACAACTTAGAACCTAATCAACCAGAGCACTGAGTACATCATTTTTAATATTTTCTGTGGCAAATCCTACATACTAAAGTACAGTGGTGGTCTTCAGGAAAAATACTTGCACAGTTGAGTTGTAAGCTAACCTAGCAACTTGATTCAAGGAATGACATTTTTATTTGAAAGAACTGACAAACTATAGTTTTTCAGGCTTGGATATTTGGCAAATATTTTCACAAAATATCAAATAAACAAAGTGAGCCTGTCACTTTTAGTAAAACAGTTGACAGTATTTGTTACTAAAGGTTAAATTCAAGCTTCCAAATGATAATTAGGAATTCAGAAAACTTTTATTCACCATGGTGAACATGACAACTTTCTAATACTTAAAGGATTTTCTGATGTATTTGATTTTTAAAAATACTTATATTGTTTAATGAAATGTATTAACATTTGGAATATCTGTATATCTCAGTGAACAATTATTTTCCAAATGGCAAGTGTATAATGCTACAAAATTATGCATAGGTAAAAGTTCCATTTAAAGTGCAAGATTTTAATGTAAAGAATACAAAAAGTTTATTAATATGCTTTCATAATCCATGTTACAACTAATATTTACGAAATTACCCCTCACTGAGTTTAGTTTTAGTAGAGTGGCCACAATTATCTGAAAAAAATTATTAAAATATTCCCCTTTTCGAATTATATGTTTGTTCTCACAAAACATTTGTTGTCTTTTAAAAAAAAGATATTTTGTTTTTCATAAATATGTCAGTTCAAAATACATTTTTCAAAAAATTATGAATGTTATCTTGCAACGGCATATCATTGTTATTTTATGCATATTAAAATAGCTTCACAATTTCTCAGGTTTAATGATTTAAGAGACTTTATTTTTAGAACAGTTTCAAATTTATACGAAAAATTGAACTAATACAGGGAGCTTTCCCATTTGCCCTGCATCCAGTTTTCTTTTCTTACAAATGATATGGTACATTTGTTACAATTAACGAACCAACAGTGATACATCATTAACTAAACAACATAGTTTAACAGGTTTCCTTGGTTTTTACCTAATGTCCTTTTTGTATCCCAGAATCTCATGAGAATTCCTTGTTACCTTTAGTTTTCTCCTTAGGCTCTTCTTGACTATGATAGTTTCTCAGACTGTCCTTGGTTTTGACCTTAACAGTTTTGAGGAGCACTGGTCAACTAGGATTTGTCTAATGTTTTTCTCACGATTCAATGGAAGTTACAGGTTTCAAATAGGAACCACAGAAGTGCCATTTTCATTCTATTATACCAAGGGTACATACCCTCAATGTGATACCTCGCTGCTGATTTTAGCCTTGGTCAGCTGGCTGAGTGAGTGTCATTTCTCCACTGTAAAGTTACTCCCTCTGCCCCCTCAGTACGTACTCTGGAAGAAAATCTTAATGTGCAGACCACACCTAGGAACGAGGGACTTACTCTCCATCTCCTTGAGTCTCTATATAAATTCTTTGAAAATCTTCTTCAATGGGAGATCTGTCTCTTCTCCCCCATTTACCTTTTATTCAATTATTATTTACATCAATATGGACTCATGGATGTTTATATTTGTGGTTATAATCTAAGATTACCTTGTTTATTGTGTTGTTCACATTATCTTAACTTTTGCTATCGAGTGCTCTTTCAGTTGATATATTCCTGTCATTTTTGTGTGTGTGTGATGGATTTCCTTATTTCTGACACTACAAAGTGCTCCAGGCTCATCTTGTAGATGGGAGAAGGCAATGGCACCCCACTCCAGTACTCTTGCCTGGAAAATCCCATGGACGGAGGAGCCTGGGAGGCTGCCTATGGGGTCACACAGAGTCTGGACACGACTGAAGAGACTTAGCAGCAGCATCTTGTATAAATGAAACCTAGAATCAGCTCCAGTCCTAGAACCAGACATTATTCCAAAGAGCTTTGTTGTTGTTTTTTAATTGGAAAATGGTATTAAAGCCAACATCTGGCTATCGGTGTGCTTGCTGCTACTAGGGTGTCATTGCTTCTAAATCCTCTCAGCTGACAGAGCAAGGAAATACACATGTGTTTACTAATCCATCCACATATACCTGTCTGTAAATATTTCCACATGTAACTGCCTGTATCTGTATTAAGATAAACAAGTTCCTGGTGATCTCTTCAACTCAAATCCACTACCAAAGGGATTATTCTACCCACCTCCCTGTGCTTATCTGAAAAACTCCCACTCCAACAGGGAGAAGCTTGGGTCCTGCCATCTGCTGTCCACTTACATAGTTATTTAATTTCAGTATACATGTATACCAGTATCAGAGTTAAGCCATACCCTCATGGGAAAAAGACTTAATCAACTAAAGTACGGTGTTTACATACATTTTCTTTAGTCTTTAGTCTTATAGATTTCTTTCATTTTCAAATGAGTATGTTTTCCCTACCTTCTTCAGTGAAGCTGGCTCATACATGTAATAGTGTTAAATTATTTTGTCACATTCTGTGTTCCAACTTGGGATCCTATAGCCTTCTAAATGATTTCTTTTAATTTGAATGTATTAAGGTTCACTAGAGGTTCTATAAGTTTCTATGAATATTGATAAATGCATAGAGTCAAGTATCCACAATTAACATGTTATATAGAATAATTTTACCCCCTAAAAAACTGCCTGTCCTTTACCTATTCAACCTTCTCTCCCTCCTTTCCAAACTCCTGACAACTATTAATTTTTACTGTTGCTATCATATTGTCTTTTCCAGAATGTTATATAATTAAAATCATAAGGTATGTGGCCTTTTCAGACATTTCTTTTATTTAGTAATACACATTTAAGATTCACCCATGTGTTTTCTTGGCTTGCTTTTTTTTTCACTGATGAATAGTATCCCATTGTATGAATGTAACACAGTTTTTTATTCACTCACCTATTGAAGAACATCTTGGTTCTTTCAAATTTTGGAGTTATCAATAAAGATAACACAAATATTTGTGTGCAGATTTTGGTGAAGCCATATTTTCAAATCAGTCATATTTTCAATTTCAAATACCTTGGAATGTAACTGCTGGATCATATTATAAGAATATGCTTAACTTTATAAGAAACTGCCAAACTGCCTTCCAGAGCAGGCTGTACCATTTTACAGTCCCACTAGCAATGAATACTTTCCCACCAGTATTTAGTGCATCATTGTTTTGAATTTTAGTCATTCTAATATATGTGCAGTAGTATCTTACTGTTGTTTGAATCTGTAATTCTCTAATGGTCAATGATATTGAGCATCTTTTCATTTGCTTATTTGCCATTTGTATATCATCTTTGGCAAGGTGTCTATTCAGTCTTTTCACCATTTTTTTAATTGGGTCACTTGTTTCTTGAGAGTTCTTTGTATATTTTAAACAAGTCCTTTATCACATACATATTTTGCAAAGATTTCCTGCCAGTTGGTCAGTTATCCTGTGATTCTTTTAACCATGTCTTTCCTACAGCAGAAACTTTAATAAAATCTGACATCATTTTTTTTTCTGTCATGGATTATGCTGTTGGTGCTGTATCGAAAAACTCACTGCCAAATGAAAGCTCACCTAGGAGTTCTCCCATTTTCTTTTAGTAGTTTTATAGCTTTGTAGTTACCTTCAGGAATGCTCCATTTTGAGTTAACTTTTGTGAGTTGAAAGGTCTATATCGAGGCCTTTTTTTCTGTATGTGGATGTCACTTTTTTCAGCACATTTATTGAAAAGATTATCTTTTCTCCATTGAATTGCCTTTGCTCCTTTGTCAAGTATCCGTTGACTATATTTGCATGACTTTATTTCTGTTCCATTGATGGTTGTGTCTATTCTTTCACCAATACCACACTTGTCTTGATTATTACAATTGTTAAGTGAGTTTTCAAATAAGGAAGTAGCAACTTTGTTCTTCTTCAGTGTTGGTTGGCTGTTCTGGATCTTCTATCTTTCCACATAAACTTTAGAATCAGTGTGTTGATATCTACAAAATAGCTTCCTGGGGTTTTGATTGGTATTGTGTTCAGATAAGGTTGGGAAGAATTGACATCTTTAAAAATCTGAATGCTCCATTCAATGAACATGAAATATTTCTCCAGTTATTTTTGGTTGCACTAGGTCTTCATTGCAGCATGTGGGCTTTTCTCTAGTTGCAATGAGCGGTCACAACTCTTCATTATGGTGTTCAGGCTTCTCATTGTGGTGTGTGTTTGTGTGTGTGTGCTGTGTGCTAAGTCACTTCAGTCGTGTCTGACTCTTTGCGATCCTATGGACTGTACCTGACCAGGCTCCTCTGTCCGTGGGATTTTCCAGGCAAGAGTACTGGGC